GGGGGAGGTGGACGGTGCTCACCTTGCGGGAGGGCCTGGAGGGGCCCCGAGGCTTGGTTGGGCTGCAGGCTGACCAACCCCTGCCTCTGTAGGTTGAGCAGGTGCTGCTGTTGCAACTGTTGCATTTGCAGGAGCTGCTGCTGGAAGGCCAGCTGCTTGTTCCCCAGTGCCTGGTGGGAGGCCCGAGGGGGCGGGCAGAGCGGGGCGCCGTCAGCCTCAGGCGTGCCATCTGGCCCCCACCCTGCGGAAACCCCCTCCCAGGGCCTGTCAGCCCCCGGAGCTGTCGTTGCGGCGTCCGCAGCAGCAGCTTCCCTGCTCCCGGCCCAGCTTCCATAGGGCTGCATGCCTCCTCGCAGTAAACACACGCATGCACGCATGCACGCACGCACGCACGCGCGCACACACACACAGCCAGACCCAGACACGCAGCACGACGCCCGCCCTCCTCCCTCCTCCCTCGGCTTTGGCTCCCACACCGCAGCTGTGCGCGCCTGGGAGGGGGGCTCTCATCACAATGATCGATGAGCCTGTCAAGACACGGGGCCACTCCCGCCTGGCGGGCACCCTCCCCGCATGCCCGGGTGCCCCCCTTCTGCTCTGGGGAGGGAGTTTTCTCCCCCAGCTCTCCTCACTTGCTGTTTAGATACAGAGAATCGAGGAGTCTGATGGGACCAGCATTAGCTGGTCTGGGACCCTGGCTCAGGTAATCCGCAGCCCTGCCTGGGCGCACTTGCTGGCTGGCTCTGTACCCTGCACCCCTACCCGCCAGCCTGCCCAATTCCAGGACTTCACACGGGCACTGACAAGCCAGGCTCTCCCCAAGTCTCTCTGAGCACCCTAGGAGCCAAGCATGTCCTGGGTGCTGGGGAGGCGGAGACTTCTCTGACTGCCTGCCCCGGGGTGGGGGGGGGTGGGAGAGGTTATGGGCAGAAAACGCAGCAGTTCCAAGACCATAAGGGCAGGGGCTCAGGGTGCTGGAGAATGCCGACCAGACCAGGACAGCCTTTGGAAAAGCGGCAGCCTAAGAACCTGTGGCCACGGTCTGGCCAGCAGGAGGGAGGTGATTGTCTGGGTCCCAGTGGGGTCAGGGAAGGGGTGGCTGGTGGCTGGAGGGGACTGAACACATGTTACATACAAGAAAGGGCAAAACTGGACAGGCTGGGGGCGTTGCTGAGGGGCTGAAAGGTTCTCTAAGGACAAGGGGTGTGGGACTGAGGTGTGGATCACTAAGAGCCAGGTGGGCAGGAAGAGGGCCAGACCACGAGGCAGCTGGACTGCGTGTGGACACACGGCGACATGCATGTACACATGCACTACCACACAGTAAGGAGAGAAACGTGAATGTGGATGAAGGGCGACGGAGAAATGCAAATGACCTGCCACCCCAGCCCACCCCTCGTCCTGCTTCCCCACGACTCCCACGAGGCGGTCCTCCTGACTACTCCGGGACTCACAGCCTGGCCAGGAGAGGGCCAGGGCAGCAGGGATGGGACAGGAGGGCCTCCAGGGGAACGCTGCCATTGGGGTTGCCGGCCGAGGTAAGCCGAGGCGCTTACCTCTTTGGGTTGCTGCTTCCCAGCCTGCTGTTGGGTGAGGAGCTGCAGGTGGAGTTGCTCCTGCTGCTTCTTGTAATACTCCTGCAGCTGGGGGTGCGTGAGACGGGGGGGTGGGAGTGGGTTACCACCGGCAGGGGACTGGGATTGCAAGCCCAACCCCATCCTATCCTGTCTGGGCTCCAGGGGGCTCGAGAGGGGAATTTCACAGAAACTGGCAGGGGTGGTCCCAGAGCAGGGCTGGGGAGGGAGTGGAGAGCTTCACCTCACAGCTCCGAGCCGTCCCTGCCCTTTGGTGGGTCTCCTGAACAGGCTGTGGAGAGGAGGTGCCAGGATGCCCCGTACTCTGCCCTTCCCTGGAGTCTGGGAGTCAGGAGTGGGGCCAGCCCCCAGGGAGGGACAGCTGGGAGCATGGCGGGGTGTGAGAGAGGCCGAAGCTTTGACCTGTCCCAGTTGCCCCAGGAACGCACGTCAGTCGGCCTGCACAGTCTGGTTTCTGCGACAGCTTTGGGCTTCATGGAGTGTAGGCAGTAAATAGGGCAACGAGGGGCAGGGGTCCCAGCTGCCCGGGGCACACGCACCTGCTGGAGCATGAGCGCTTGCTGCTGCTGGAGCAGGGCCTGCAGCTGTGGGGGTGACAGGATCTGCTGCATCTGCTGGGGAGTGAGCATCTGCGGCGACATCATGGCCACGGACACGGGCACCTGCGGATCGGCCTGTTCAAGCCAGCTCACCTGCGCTCCACCCTGGCAGAGCGCTGCGCAGACCAGGTCTGCAGCCTGCTGGGATCACGGCCTCGTCGCCCCTTCGGCCCCCTGCATGGGCCAGGCCTGTGTCTCTGGGACGAGGGACCTAGCTCCCTGTCCTGTGTCTCTCGTCTCTAAAATGGAAACTAGCCGCCTAAACTTACCACGATGAGTGAACTGACACCAAGCACAGAGCCTGGCCCCCACCAGTGTTGACAAGGGCTCCTGATCCTCATCGATGCCTTTGAAGCAGGATGCTCAGGCCCTGGTGACACAGGCCCAGGGGACCCATGCTTCGGAGGGCTTCTTGCCCAGTAGTGGGGTGGGGACAGCACCCCCAGCACTGCCCCACTCTCAGTCTATTCTGGGACCACTACTGCGAGGTGGGCCTCGCCCAGAGGGCTATCTGCAGCCATGGGAAGGATGCAAAAAGTGGCCCATGTGGCCCAAGGACCTAGACTTCACCCTGTTCACACACCCGCAACACGCCAGCACGTCCGTCCAGATGGCACACAGTGGCCCAGAGCTGGAGCCCCGGAGCGCAGCTGCTAAGACCCTGGGGTGTGTGCACGTGTGTGCAGTTACGTCTGCCGTGGGGTAGAAAGGGCAGCAGGCAGGGAGCTGCAAGGCCAGGCTTCTACCCCTTCTGCACTGACCTTGCTGTGTGACCTTGAGCAAGTCACTTTCCCTCTCTGGTGTGCCATTTCCTCACACATAAAACACATGCTTGGACTACAAAAGATGACTCCTCCTAGCTGAAACATCCAGGATGTCCCAAGTAGAGCAGTTTTTCTACCCCCTGCTCTGGGTTAGGCCTCCACAGGAAGCCCAAGAATCCAGCTACGAGAAAGAAGTTCAAGGAGAAGTAATGACATCATCCTTTTCCCAGCCCCACCACCCCTGAGCCCCCAGGCGGGTGCAGTCATGGCCAGGGAGGGCCAAGCCGCTGCACTGTCCTGTCCCCCACCGTAGCAGGACAGGACAGTGTGTGCCCTGCCCCCACAGCTCTGCGTGGCCTGTGTGCACGGGGCCTTCTCCAGTCTCCTCCCTCACCCCAAGCCCTGCCAGGTGCCTGCACTCGGTGGATGCTCACCGCGTGTGTGCTCCCCTGAGCTGGCATGACTTGCCCTGCTGGCCCGGGGTGAAGGGAGGGGTGCAGGGCCAGCCTAGCCAGGGAGGAGTGTCGTGCAGAGATCTGTCCTGGGTGGAGGCGGGTCCCCAGGAGACCCCCCCACCCAGCCTCAGCCCTCACTGGGGGCAGGAGAGGAGCCGGTTCCCCTTTCAATCCCTGTAGGGGAAGGACACAGCCTCCTGCTGCCCTCTGGGCCACGGATTAGGAAATCCCCAGGCAGGGGAGCACCGGGGAGGGGCAGTGACTCCAGGGACACGAAGAGTCCCCACTGCTCCTGGCTTTCCTCACTCACCCCAGACCTAGTGCCAAGCCCCACCCCTGGGCTTTCCACTGTACCCCAGCTTCTCTGTCCAAAAGCACCTGGGAGGGGTAAGAACGTGCTTTCCTGTCATGGATATACCACGCGGATGAGGTCTCCCGGGGGCTATCAGCCAAGTAGCCCTCGGAAGTGTTTTGCTGATGTTTGTTTCCTTTTTAAAGTCATTTCTACCAATGGGAAGAGCAGAGAGTCTGGTGGCTCTAAGTGGCAGGGCTGGGGTGCACGCCCAGGTCTGTCTTCCGTGGTCTCCGGTGTGAGCATGTGCCACACTGCCCGCCCCACTCAGAGCAGGAGAACATGTGGAAACTGGACCATCCAGGGGGCCGAAGGGTCCAAGACGCTGAGACCCCCAAAGGGCAACTTCCCTCTTCCCTACCACATCCCAGGAGGGTGTCTGGAGAGCCAGGCTGCAGGGGTGTCAGGGTCCTCGTCTCTGAGGGGGTCTGGGTTAGTACAGATTCACCTTGCAGGGCCACCCTGTGTCTGCTGCTGGTACCCGAGTCAAGAACTTGGGTCTCGCCATCCAAAGATGGGTCTGTACACCCTTGGGCTGGGAGCAACCAATGTTAAAAGGCACCAGCGAATGACCGCCATCCTTTCTTTCTTCCTGCTGTGGGGGCTTCCAGTGGACGAGCTCGGAGCTCTGGAGTCCAAGTCAGCAGCCTGGGTTCCTGTCCTGATCGCGCTACTCTGAATCCACAGAGCCTCACTCTCCCCATCTGCTGACGAGGGTTCGAGGATTCGCACCGCCTGCCCTCCCTGCACAAGACGATGCTGACGGCTTACTGTGTGCTAGGGAGCTGGCCAGCCCCCTCTGTGCGTCATCTCATTGGGTCTTCACAGCAACCCTGACGACAGGGAGTCCACACTGCCACCATTTCACCGGGGAGGAAACTGAGGCCTCAGGAGTTAAAGAGCCTGCCTGCCCCAAAGGGACAGTGGAAGGTGAGGTGAGTGGAAGAGCTGCCATTAAATTCTATGAGCATGTGAAGAAATCACTTTTTGAAACATTCTGAGGGGTCAGCAGATGGCATGGTGGTTAAGGCAGTGGACTCCCACACAGCAGATTGTGGTTTGAGTCCCAGACTTGGTGGCTTGAAAATCATGCCAGGCATGTGCGCATGTGTGCCCCAAATCCCAAGAAGAGAATGGAGGGTAAGGGATTATGGCATGATCGTCCCCCCCCCCAGGGGGGGTGGGGATAACTTCTCACTTCCCCTTTCTCTGTCCCTCTCTGGCAAGTACACATACCCTATGGTAAAACATGAAAAAAGGGACCGGCAGGTGGCGTGGTAGTTAAAAGTGCTGGATTCACACATGGCTGGCTGCAGTTCGAGTCCCAGACCTGACGGCTTACTTTCTCACTTTCCCTCTCTCTTTGTCTCTGGTCAAATTTAAAAAATAATAACAAATGGAATTAAATCCTGGACTTCCCCTTCCCTGGAAGCTCCTTTCCATCCTTCTGTTCCTCTCTCTTTCCCCTTTTGGTGCCCCAGGGCAATACATGCCAAGGATCACTTAGGGCCAGAGTACTGGGCCACCCATTCTCATCACAGTGAGAGTGGAAAGAGGGATGGACATGGCCCACAGCTGGAGACTGGGACCAGGCACCCAGAGCTTTCCAGGCACTGGGACAGTGAGTCACTGCATGGCCTACAAAGGAAGAGGTGACATTTCCTTCCCTGGGGCTTTCCTACTCAGAGGCAGAGGGCTGGAAGAGATGGCCTAGGCAGGCCTCCCTGCCCCCCACCATTCCTGCCAAGTGGCCAAGCAGCTAGCTGCAGAGATCTGGGCGGATGAGCTTGCGTGTACTTGCCTAGTGGAGCTGAGAAGGGCTAGTGAGCTGGCTGACCCCTCCACCTTCTGAGCACTGAGGTGGAGCTCTCCTGGTGTCCCTGCTGACGCCTAGGCAGGCTGGGATGGGTCAGGATGGGCACTGTGCAGCTGGAAAGCTCAGCGAGGCCCATGAGTCACCGCCTGGAGAGCAGCCAGGGCAGCTAAATGCTTACGAGAGCCCTGGCAGTGTGAGCCCCGGGCCAAATGCCGTCAGCTGCTCCAGCCCTTCCTCAGGACCCTGCTCGGCTCCCAAGCCCTCTACCCAGCATGAGGGCAGTGTGCTGGGCTAGATGGGCTGACTGGCAGGCACAGGAATACAGCCTGACATACAGGAAGGTTATTTGGGAGCTGATGGTTGGGATGGATGCAATTTGGTGTCAGAATCAAAGGCCCAAGGGGCCGGCAGGTGGCATGGTGGTTAAGGTGCTGGACTCCCACATGGCCAACCATGGCTTGAGTCCCGGACTTGAAGGTTTACTTTCTCACTCTCCTTTTCTCTTTCTGTCTCTTTCTGGTCAAAATGAACAAGAAGGGCTGTAGGTGGCATGGTGGTTAAGAATGCTGGACTCCCACACGGCCAACAGTGGTTCTATTCCTGGACCCAGCAGCTTACTTTTTCACTTTCCTGCTCTTTCTCTCTCTGTGTCCCTCTCTGGTCAAAGTAAAATAAATAAATAAATAAGGTGAAATAATTCCTTTTAAAATTTTGAATTAATAGGGAACCAGCAGTTAGCGTAATGGCTATGTCGCTGGACTCCCACGTAGTCGACCGCGGTTCGCGTCTCGGACCCGGAGAACATGTGGAAACTGGACCATCCAGGGGGCCGAAGGGTCCAAGACGCTGAGACCCCCAAAGGGCAACTTCCCTCTTCCCTACCACATCCCAGGAGGGTGTCTGGAGAGCCAGGCTGCAGGGGTGTCAGGGTCCTCGTCTCTGAGGGGGTCTGGGTTAGTACAGATTCACCTTGCAGGGCCACCCTGTGTCTGCTGCTGGTACCCGAGTCAAGAACTTGGGTCTCGCCATCCAAAGATGGGTCTGTACACCCTTGGGCTGGGAGCAACCAATGTTAAAAGGCACCAGCGAATGACCGCCATCCTTTCTTTCTTCCTGCTGTGGGGGCTTCCAGTGGACGAGCTCGGAGCTCTGGAGTCCAAGTCAGCAGCCTGGGTTCCTGTCCTGATCGCGCTACTCTGAATCCACAGAGCCTCACTCTCCCCATCTGCTGACGAGGGTTCGAGGATTCGCACCGCCTGCCCTCCCTGCACAAGACGATGCTGACGGCTTACTGTGTGCTAGGGAGCTGGCCAGCCCCCTCTGTGCGTCATCTCATTGGGTCTTCACAGCAACCCTGACGACAGGGAGTCCACACTGCCACCATTTCACCGGGGAGGAAACTGAGGCCTCAGGAGTTAAAGAGCCTGCCTGCCCCAAAGGGACAGTGGAAGGTGAGGTGAGTGGAAGTGCTGCCATTAAATTCTATGAGCATGTGAAGAAATCACTTTTTGAAACATTCTGAGGGGTCAGCAGATGGCATGGTGGTTAAGGCAGTGGACTCCCACACAGCAGATTGTGGTTTGAGTCCCAGACTTGGTGGCTTGAAAATCATGCCAGGCATGTGCGCATGTGTGCCCCAAATCCCAAGAAGAGAATGGAGGGTAAGGGATTATGGCATGATCGTCCCCCCCCCCAGGGGGGGTGGGGATAACTTCTCACTTCCCCTTTCTCTGTCCCTCTCTGGCAAGTACACATACCCTATGGTAAAACATGAAAAAAGGGACCGGCAGGTGGCGTGGTAGTTAAAAGTGCTGGACTCCCACATGGTTGACTGCGGTTCGACTTCCAGACCTGGTGACTTGCTTTCTCACTTTCCCTCTTTTTTTTTTTTTATTTCCCTCTCTCTTTGTCTCTGGTCAAATTTAAAAAATAATAACAAATGGAATTAAATCCTGGACTTCCCCTTCCCTGGAAGCTCCTTTCCATCCTTCTGTTCCTCTCTCTTTCCCCTTTTGGTGCCCCAGGGCAATACATGCCAAGGATCACTTAGGGCCAGAGTACTGGGCCACCCATTCTCATCACAGTGAGAGTGGAAAGAGGGATGGACATGGCCCACAGCTGGAGACTGGGACCAGGCACCCAGAGCTTTCCAGGCACTGGGACAGTGAGTCACTGCATGGCCTACAAAGGAAGAGGTGACATTTCCTTCCCTGGGGCTTTCCTACTCAGAGGCAGAGGGCTGGAAGAGATGGCCTAGGCAGGCCTCCCTGCCCCCCACCATTCCTGCCAAGTGGCCAAGCAGCTAGCTGCAGAGATCTGGGCGGATGAGCTTGCGTGTACTTGCCTAGTGGAGCTGAGAAGGGCTAGTGAGCTGGCTGACCCCTCCACCTTCTGAGCACTGAGGTGGAGCTCTCCTGGTGTCCCTGCTGACGCCTAGGCAGGCTGGGATGGGTCAGGATGGGCACTGTGCAGCTGGAAAGCTCAGCGAGGCCCATGAGTCACCGCCTGGAGAGCAGCCAGGGCAGCTAAATGCTTACGAGAGCCCTGGCAGTGTGAGCCCCGGGCCAAATGCCGTCAGCTGCTCCAGCCCTTCCTCAGGACCCTGCTCGGCTCCCAAGCCCTCTACCCAGCATGAGGGCAGTGTGCTGGGCTAGATGGGCTGACTGGCAGGCACAGGAATACAGCCTGACATACAGGAAGGTTATTTGGGAGCTGATGGTTGGGATGGATGCAATTTGGTGTCAGAATCAAAGGCCCAAGGGGCCGGCAGGTGGCATGGTGGTTAAGGTGCTGGACTCCCACATGGCCAACCATGGCTTGAGTCCCGGACTTGAAGGTTTACTTTCTCACTCTCCTTTTCTCTTTCTGTCTCTTTCTGGTCAAAATGAACAAGAAGGGCTGTAGGTGGCATGGTGGTTAAGAATGCTGGACTCCCACACGGCCAACAGTGGTTCTATTCCTGGACCCAGCAGCTTACTTTTTCACTTTCCTGCTCTTTCTCTCTCTGTGTCCCTCTCTGGTCAAAGTAAAATAAATAAATAAATAAGGTGAAATAATTCCTTTTAAAATTTTGAATTAATAGGGAACCAGCAGTTAGCGTAATGGCTATGTCGCTGGACTCCCACGTAGTCGACCGCGGTTCGCGTCTCGGACCCGGTGGCTTAAATCTCACGCCGGGCGCGTGTGTGTGCGTGCCCAAGATCCCGAGAGGAGAATGGAGGAGAAGGGATTGCGGCGTGACCATCCCCCCTGGGGGGTGATTTCTCGCTTTCTGTCTCTATGTCTCTCTCTGTCTGTCTGGCGAGCGCACGCGCCCTATAGCGAAAACCTCTCAAAAAAAAAAAAAATTTTGAATTAATAAATAAATAAAAGAAATAATTACTTAAAAAAAAAAAGAATCAAGGACCCCAACTCAGCCTCTTAGGAATGTGGTCTGGGGTCCCTGGGCGAATGCGAAGCAATACGGGAGCCAGGCTAGAGCTGGGGTTCAGTTAAAACTCCTTTGGAAGTAACCAGAAGAAAGTCCTCAGACTATTTCTGGGCTGGAGATGCAGCAAGAAAGACAGTGGTGGGGTACCCATAACAACTCCCAGCAATGTCAGATACGGGGCAGATGGAGCCATGGGACCTGGCTCTGGCCACCTCCTTTCCCTGTGGCCGACTCCCAGCCACCTGTGCTCCCTTCTGTGTGGGACTTCGTTCCCCCTGCCTGGGGCCCAGGCCTGGGCACAACCAGGCAGTCCTGCTAGGCTGGATCTGGAGGCCTATTACGCTTTCCAAAACTCTTCCACGCTGGCTAGCTGGGCCAGGAGTGGGGAGTAGGCATGGCTGGGAGGTGAGTGGGTAGGCAATCCTATCGGGAAGGACTGGGCAAGTGGCTGCCGAAGATCTTCCGCACTACCCACTTCATTCGCGCCCCGAATCAGTAACATACACCTCTCTGCTCCAGTGAGGAGCCCAGCCCTGCCCCTCCACCAGGCTTCCGCTCACAGATCCGGGCCCTGACTCGCGGACTGAGAACCCACCTCCTTGGAGATTATGAATGTAGGGGGACAGGCAAGGAAGGTATCAGTGATAGAGAAAGCAAGGGGTCCTTAGTCAGGGTCCAGGCTTCTCAGAAGCTCAGGGATGGCCCCCATCGCCCGGAAACCCTCAGAACCATCCGGCCAGGGCTTTGGTCCCCACACCAAGCATAGGGCACATCACAATAAAGAGATCAGGTTCGGAGCTGATTGTGTGGGTTCAAATCTAGGCTCTGTCCCTTCCTAGCAGTGTGACCTTGGGCAAATGGCTTAACTTCTCTGGGCCTGTTTCTGTACTTGCAAGATGGGACTAATCACAGCGTCGCCCACCGGCTGTGAGAACAGTGGGACTATACTTACAAAGTGCCCGCCTCATGTTAGCACTCTGTAAAGGCCAGTTGTTAGCTTAGAAAACATATTCTAAGTATTTGTCGAATGAGTGAATCAATTATTGGGAGGCAAGGAAAGAGCAGTTTGGAGAAAGGATTGTTTAATCTGTCTGACCCCAAAACCTCCAGACCTGTCTCCTACGGGAAGAGGCCTAAGGGAGATTCTGTGCTTCCCTTCCGGGTTAGTCAGATCTCCTACCCAATACCCAGCTGAAAACCTTCCTGATGTCTGACCTCTGTCTCTCCAACTACCATCGAGCTCCTTCCCTGCCATTGGCTAGCAGTCCTTTCTGGGTGGGGAAGCATTCTTGTCCCCCAGCCTTCCCTCCCCTGTTCTTAGGAGGGGGTACTAGGACTAGCAGATGGCATAATGGTTACATCTGGACTCCCATGTAGTCAACTTTGGTTCAAGTCCCGGACCCAGCGGCTTAAAACTTGCGCATTAAAACTTGTGCAGGCGTGTGTGCAAGCATGCCCAGGATCCCCAGGGAGGAATAAATTGAAGCAAGTGATTCTTGCTTTCTATCTCTGTCTCTCTCTCTGGCAAGACCAATGTCTTATAGATAAAAATTTCTCTCTCAAAAAAAGAGAAGGGGGTACTAAACCAGGCCCATGGTGGGGAGGATTCAGATCGGAGCCCAAGGGCCATTTCAGACCCAGGGAGCATGTGTTGGGGTCCTCAATTCAAAGAGACCCACTCCTGGGGACCAGCAGTTAGCGTAATGGCTATGTTGCTGGACTCCCATGTAGTCAACCACGGTTCAAGTCCCAGACCCAGTGGCTTAAACTCACACCGGACGCGTGTGTGTGCGTGCCCAAGATCCCAAGGGCAGAATGGAGGAGAAGGGATTGCTGCGTGGCCATCCCCCCTGGGGGGTGATTTCTCGCTTTCTGTCTCTCTGTCTCTCTCTGTCTGTCTGGTGAACGCACGCACCCTATAGCAAAAACCTCTCCAAAAAAAAAGAGAGACCCACTCTGGACACCATGCGGGTGTGCGCACCTTCCACACCGCCTCTGCCTCCCTGGATGGACTTTCCAGACCTGGCCCTCCCCTCCTCCAGGGCCCTCCCTGCCCAGCTCCTCCCAGCTCCTCCTCTTAGAGGGCTGTCTCATTAGTTCAAGGGTTTTCAAAGAGGGCTACTGCTTGGGTTGCACATCTGCCCAGCACCTTGAACTTTTTCAAAGCACTTTCAGAACATTCATGCCTTTTACACAGAACCCAGACACTCTGCGGAGTACTGGAATCTCGCTCCAGGACAAAGCCCATCCTGGGTCCTCCTCGGGCACCCTGAGCCGCCCCCAACTCCTCACTTCCCTTGCCACCCCGCCCCCAGACTCCAGGCGTCTCTGGCCCAGGATTGTGCTCACCCTTCCTCCCTTAGATAAACTTCCTTTCAAAGCCTGCTTAATCCTCTCCCCAATTCGGAGCCTCCGGGGCTGTGGGGGGTGGGGGCGAGGATGCTGGCTGCAGGGCAGAGGGGGGCGGGGGCAAGCTGCCCGGGTAGTGACCCGTCCCGGACTCAGACTGCAATTCTCCCAAGTTCTTTGTGACACAAAAGGTAAACAGAAGGCCTGGCTTCCCCAGGCAGATTGTGTCTAGGAAAACAAAAGAGACAGAGAGACAGCAAGAGACAGGAAATGAGGAGAGACTGGGAGAGTCAGCGGGTGAGAGATAAGAGGGGAGACTCGTAACCAGACAGCTGAGAGGATCTGGGAGGGGGTGGGGAGGGGATGAGAGAGGGAACAGAGAGGATTAGACAGAGACCTGGTCGGGAAGAGCAGCATGAGAAGGAAAGAGACCTGTAGGCAGGGCGGGGCGGGGCAGGGCAGGGCAGGGCAGGGCAGGGCAGGGGAGGCACCTAGAGGCCCACAGAGGCAGGAGAGCTGCAGACAGCCTCAGCGGAACTACGGGGGCAAAGAGGCCCCACAGTGAAGGCCTGGCTACTCAGGTGGGGACCAGAGAGAAAGTGGAAGTGTCTTCACCCCATCCCTGCAGTGGATTTCCTTCTGGAAAGTGGCCCACTGTGGCCAGGGCAGCTCTATGGCAGGTCCTCGCCTCCCTCTGGGCCATGCCCACCCTCAGGCTGTGGCCCCGCCCAACCCCAGCCCCAGTGGGGCACCTTCCTCCTCACCTGCACAGCAGAGGCAGACTGTTTGCTGTCATTGTTCCCTGGGGAGCTCAGGCCTGAGGCCTGCTGCAGCAGGAACTGCCGGGCCACCTGGAGAGCCTGCAAGACAGGGGCTGAGTCAGCACCTAAGCCTAGCAATGGCCTGAGGGCCTGGGCATGATCCAGGACTTACTGGGAGAGTTTGGGGGTAAGGGAGAGCAGCTCTGGGAAAGGTGGAAGGTCTTGGGGGTAAGGGGGTATGGTCCATATGCCTGTGGGGTAGAGAGAGAAGTAGGAGTCACTGAGCTGAAGAAGTGGGGGGTTTAGGGATCAGAGTCTAACAGACTCACCCTGGGTCCCAGCAAGGTTTTGTTAGGACTCTCATTGAATGGGAGTCACTGGCCAGAAAATGGAAGGGCCAATGGTCAGAAAAGGACTCTGGGCCCAGCCTAGGTCGTACGGTCCCAGCATGCTAGACTGCAGTGCTGGAAGTGGCATGGCCCACTGTGGTTCAGGTCTCTGGCCAGGTGATGTGACATGTGCTGCAATGCTCACACAGGTGTCCACAATTCTGACAAACCGGAGGGCTAGGGGAGGGGGTGGTCAGCATGAGGAGATGCTGTCAAGGACACTTTTCTCATCATCTGCCCCTCCCCCCCTGCACTCACATGCACCATGGTATTTAAAAATAAAGAAAAAAGGATTTCATAGGAAAGTACAGGCAGTGGACTCAAAGTATTAATAAGCGGCACTATTTATTAAGGATCCAACATGCACTGGGTACTTTACAGGCAATATCACATTTTATCTTCTCTTGTAAGGCTGTGAGGTAGGGATTTTCACATCCCACCACACTCCCAATGTGGCAGAAGGGGAAATTACATTTCCAGGAAGTTCAAGATCTTGCCGTAGATCATATAGCTGGGAGGTATCAGAGCTACATGATTTGGGCCCAGGAAGTCTGGCTCCCAGGCCATCTGCCTGAGTGAGTGGTCAGTCTGGGGCTGACTGAGTAGCACTCACCGTGCAGTCAGAGCATAGTGTGAAGACAAGAGTGAGTCTAGGGATTAGCTATATGGGGTCTGAGCACTGTGAGGGTTTGTGAGGGCAGGGTGTACTGGAGCAATGCCTCATAGCATGGGGAAATTATGTCAAGTACTAACGGGTATCTCAGCTACCCAGCAAATGCATGGGCCCTAGTGGTCTGTGCGAGGAGGCCAACTAGTTTGGACTGGACACTGAGCCAGGAGTGGGAGATATATTGAGCATGCAGGAGGAGCAAGCTTCAACGACGGTCAGGAGTCAGGGACCTGGAGGTGGGTGGGCAGTGAGGTCTGGTAGGAGAAAGTCTCTTGAAGACCAGCCAAGCCTTCCACACCCTCTGCAGGGGAAGGTGCAGAGGCAGGGGCTATGGAGGACCTGTCCTGAGTCCACATTCCAGGGATATAAACCTGTCTGCCTCCAGCTCCTCCCAGACACCCTTGGGAGCCAGAGCAATGGTGTCCAGGCCTTTGACATGGAGCTCTGGCATTGGCTGTGTGGGTTTGAATCCTAGCTGTGACCTTGGGCAAGCTATTTCATCTCTCTGCCCTTCCGTCTCCTTATCTACAAAACTGGGACACTAACCATCTCCAAATGACTAGGGGGATTAAAGGACCAATTCTGGGCACCTAGTTGGCATTCAGGAAGTGTTCACTCCCTTCCCTTCTTGTTAAGCTCTAAATGGTTCTCCACTTCACCTCGCCCAGCCTCTCTCCAACACAGCCTCATGCCCAGCACACACATCAGAGGAAACGTGCCCACTCGCGGCTCACATCTGTCCACACCTGCACATTCGCTTTTTCCCAGATGGACTTCTGCTTTTCCTGCCCTGCCACAGCACCGTCAAGGCAACCCTTTTCGGGTGGGCTGCAGATGCAACGCTCACCCTCAGCCAGCAGTCGCAGTGCCCAGAGTAACAAGGAGGACATCCGCACATCCACCTCGGCTGGTCCATCACCGGGGAGCGGCCGAGGCTTACATCCGGGTTACCTGCGATGGTATCTAACCTGCACTGCGTATCTATGGGAACCTGTCCCCTAGCAAACCTGGAGTTCAGACTGGCTGCTCCTCACCAGCCCGCAGGCCCTAGGCCTCCCCGACCTGGACGCCACTCCCCGAGAAGCTCCTGAGCTTCCACGGCGGGCAGGATGCAGCTTTGTGTCGAGACTCACCTTAGAAAGCTAAATTTAACCTTTCTAAGGCCAAAGGTTCCGAGAGGCTGGGAAAGAGGGGTGGACATGGGGGCAGGCAGTGTGGCCAGGTGGTCCTCAGGAAAGAGCGTCTGCCCTCAGGTCTTCTTAACTGACCCCCTGCAGGTCTAGTGACAAATGCCCTCTGTTCTCCGAAGGTAGGGCAGAAGGGTACAGAGGTCAGAGGTCAGAAGCAAGGTCAGGGAAGGTGATGTCTGGGAGGTGCTGGTCAGTCCAGGCAACCCACAGGGGACACCGGCCACAATGGGGAGATGAAGCACCCAGATCCCTGGGTGTGGGTGAGGGGGCAGGAGGGCAGGGGCTTCTGGAGGAGGCTGAGGGGAGAGCCCTGCTCAATCTCCTGGGGGAGCCGGGTGGCCAGGGGACTCAGGTTCACTCCCTGCTGATCTCTGACTTTGTGGTCCCCTAGAGCATGAAATCGCAAGGCTTACAAGAAAAAAATGACAGGGCCTGTGATCTCAGTCCTTGCGACCTCCCTCCTAGGACAGGCCCTCAGCTCCCTCCCCACAGACTTCCTCACCTCACCTAGGGCCGAGGAGGAGCCAGGCAAGACCTCCCCTGACTTCCTCCCACTGTTCTCGCCACTACTGAGGGCCCCACTCACTCCCTCACTCTCCACTCATGTAGGAAGTGCCCGCTGTATGACAGGGACCACGCTAGGTGCCAGGGTCGTAAGAAACAGGACACACCCTCACCCCTGGGTCCTGGCTCGGGTGCTACGACGACAGACCCTATACAGAGACTGCTGAGGTCTCAGCCTGAAGTGGGCTGGGCATCAGGCGCCCGAGAAGGGCCTCCTCTGCCTGGGGCAGTCTGGAAAGGCCTCAAGGAGGAGGCGACGGCCCTGACTGTAGGGTCCCGAGGGTCAGCTCACTTGGTGGACAAGGAAGGTCTCACATATCGAGTGTGTCTACACTGCCGGCACAGGGTCTGTGAGCTGCCAGGCTGCCCACCGCCCAACCCTGACAGACCCAGCCCCGCTCTCTCTGTGATGCCAACCCGACTGACACCTCCTTGACAGCACAGATGTGGCCAAGGGTAGCCGCGAGCCCCACTGCAGCACCAGCACGCAGCCCACGTGTGAGACCTGCTCGTGAGCTTCACCTCACCGGGCTATCTGCGCAGGCTGGGGTGGCGGGGGGGCGC